AACCAGTGTCTTTACTGGTTACTAATAAATACTTAGAAACACAGAAATGTGGATCTTTTTGTGTTAAACTCTTTCATACATACTTGCAAGAGTGTGTCTGAGTGTGTGGATGTAGACAGCTACAGAGCTTAAGGCCTGATCCTGCAACAGTCATGTGAGCAGTGTTTACTTACACGAGTAATCTCATTAGGGCTAATTTAGTGAGATTTAGTGAGTGATGGCTGCATGGTTAGGCCTGAGGCATGGAGGACTGGTCCAGGGTGGTGGCAGAAAGCTGTGGCTCTGCACTGCTGCTGGAGCTGCATCCTGGGGAGGTGTCCCAGGCTCAGATGGGATCCAGCCCTGAAAACAAGCACCTGGAGCCTTTCTCCTTGCAGCCACGTCACTATGGGGCACCCTGGCCCTGACAGGCAAAAGAACAGTTTTATGAAGAAGCTTGTGAAAAATGACACCTAGTCTTGAACAGTTCATATACAATTAAAAAAAAAATAAAATAAGGAGAACTGAAAATGACTATAAATCCATCCCTCTCTGACATTTTCTGCTGCTGGCAAGCCAGTGCATTTTCCTTCATAGAAACTTCCAAGATACTGCAAATAGTTTTAATGGTAGAAAGCTTGGCAGGTACGAAATGTTACCCAAGTCGGTTAAAGGAGAGGAAAAGAGCCAATGCATCCAGTCCCCCATCCCACCAAACCCAGCCTTCCTTCCATTGCGGAACAGTACGGTGTGTAGGTCTGGCTAAGCAGACAAGGTAAATGTTAATCCTGGTTTTCCACAGTAATACCATGTCAGACGAATTACTGAGGTGTCAGTGCTGTGCCTTCTGTTCACTCTGGTGATTTGTGTCTCAAATTATTATATAAGAATACGGTTTCAAGTTGTTGAAAAAGCAGTAAGTTGCCTCTGTGTGCAAGACTTGTTGCTTTGTGTTACAAGCTCAGGGTTACGTGCAAGTTCCTTGCATGAAAGGGAGAGAGAGACCTGGGCTGTGAGGCCTTGGAGGTATTTTCATATACTTGGCCTGACTGCCTGACACAGAGGCCATAAGGTTTTACATAGAGAGGTTGAGTTACTCACAGCAGTGCTTAATTCAGTGCCTGTGGCTCAAAATTCTGGTGCAGAATCACACTCTGCATGGTTGAGCTCTCGCTCTCAGCCCGGTGCTGCTGGTACCTGCCCATTCCCTTACTTACTTAGCATGAGGGAAGAGAGCAGAGGAGGGTGATGCACTCATTCACCTGCTGTCAGCGAGAAGCACATCCCCAGCACGCTTCTGTCTGATGCCAGGATTTAGCAAACCCTGTGGTAGTGTAATCCCGAGCAGACATGTGAGTGGTTGGATATATGGCAGCGACTTGGACATAATGTTATCAGGCACTGACAGCTTTAACACACTTTCTGTCATGCATCTCCTGAACTTCATATCTACCTAGTTCTTATAACTGTGTAAATGATGAGGGGACCTTGAAAAGGTTTTTGACCACATTTTCCAAACACTTTCTTCATGCTGAAGTAGTACCACCCTGTGAACAGCAAAACTCAACTTCAGGCAAAATTTCCTTCTCCAAGAAGGGTTTAACTTGTACCACATAAGTGGAGTAAATTGTATTATAATGTAATCTGACTACTGTCATTTTTAAGCAATGTTTCTAATACAGAGGTGATTTTGAAATTTAGTGTATCGCTAGTATAGAAGGAGAAGGACAAGGACTAATCTATGGGTTTACCTGGCCAGAAAAGCACTTGAGGACAGCAGAAGATGATAGGCAGCAGCACCCCTGCACACTCAGCCCCAGAAGCAGTCGGGTGATGAAGGGGAGGTAGTTCCAGCCTTCGGGCTGTGGCACTACCCAGTGCAGCCACCGATTGCAATTGCCAAGGCAGTGGCTCTTTTCTGGTCCTCCTGGGTCAGTGTTTGTGTAAACAAAACTGGTTCATCTGGGGCACAATAATGTTACTGCACATTTCAGATCAGGTACGTGCAAGATTTTGGCTGCTTGACTGCAGCATGTGCTGCAGATTTAAACTGGCAGTCTCATTATCAGGAATAGGTGTTTGTGTCCTGCCTGATGCAGTCTCCAGCAGGTTGCCCTGGCAGTTCTTTGGCAGAAATAAGGAAAGGCTGTGCACAGTTTTCTATATTGGATAGTGTAGGTAATGGTAGCCCTGGTGCTGGGTCCAACCAAGAGCGTGTATGTTCCTGGCTCAGCTAGCACTAATGTATTGCAACATTCTTAAAACAGAAGTTTTTTAATAACTGGACCTGGCTGTATCCTTTTACCTAGTCTGCTTCAGTACAGGCATCTCTAAAATAACATGCATAACTCTAATCACTTTTTCACTTAATGTATAGTGCTCCTCTGTGTTCGGAGTTGTGGGAATAGGACAAGGTATTGGTCCTCTGGGAAAAAGGGAACATGTCTGGAGTCTTTCCTAGAGTATTTCTAGCTTCTTCATCAGTATTTTTTACATAAATAAAGACCTTTTACCTGAAAAATACAAACCTGATTGTTTACAGAATACTATGTATACCTTTAATAATAGTGATGCGATGGTGGGGGAATGCCTTCAGCTAGAACAGGTTTTAAATAAAAGTTTCCACCCTTGGTTAAAAGATACCTGCCTAAAACCTCTATTGAAGTTTGTTGGCCTTGGGTGCAATCCATGATGTGTATTTCCTGAAGTGCTGCAAAATGTACAGTGACAGTGCGTAACTAGAAAAGCTGTTCTTGGGGACAAACCACCTTTTTGTTGGTGAGGCTCACCTGGCAGTTTGTAGCAATTCTCTTGGTTTCTTCAGCAACATTGCTACCATAGTTTCAGATGCTACTTGGATCTCATGTTGTGGACAAATGGAGGTTGTGAGCTTGGTAAAACTACCAGTTTTTTATAGTCCACTTGAACTTGCAGTGGACTTGAGACCTTCAGTGTTGACTTAAAGTTTTTTGAGCTTTTGCGAGCTTCATGAAGTAGACTATTCATTATCTTCATCTTCTCAGTTAGGAGAATAAATAAGGTCGAGCAATTAATATCAGAGCGTGCATCTGTCGCACTCCAGAAGAGCCTGTCACCCTTGGGATGTGCCATGGTGCCTGATGTCGGAGAGCCGCAGGAGTGGCCAGCCAGGACCCTGGGCTTTTTCCTAAGAATGGGAGGAAAAATAAATGCATTCTTACTAGCAACTCATCTGAGGGTAAAACTTACAGTGCTTAAGTTGACAACTTATCATGTTAACCCATGCTACAAGTTGATGCAACTCTTTGGGCTGTTTTGTTCTGCTGTGCCCTGCTTATGTGTAGCTCAAATGGACAAACAGCCCATCAGGGTGCTCACATTTGTGAGCATTATGTGCTGGATCTGGCTGGATCCAGTGCCAAATTTGGAAGGGTGGTGGAGGAATTTGTTTTACTGCAGTTGCTAGCAGTCATTTTTCACCCCCCTCCTGAAGTACAACAGCTGTTTGCCAGATGCCTGCAGTGTCAGCATGCTCACACGTGCAAAACAGGTAAACAGGGTTACCAAACCTCTGTTCCTGAGATGTAGCAATTGATCTGGATCTCAGAACCCACCGCCACTGCCCTTGGTCTTTGAATCGTGAGAAAAGTGACAGGTTTGTGCCATACTGCCCTTTTTGACCACATATGGAAGCATGTGCTAGGCCAGGGCATACATCTGGCTGTGATGGAAATGGCTAGTTGTCAAACTGTAAGCTTGCCTTCTTGATGTCTGTGTGGTGGTACAAGGGAGTGTGCACTGATTAAATCCTCGTGGAGCTGTGGTTGCTCTTGGTCAGTGAACTTGTCAGCACGGAGTCCTCCAGACCTCGGTCTCAGAAGCACTTGAGTATAACAGAAGTGTACGCTGGTATTACAGATTGTAACTCCACTTAATCATTTGCCAAGCCAAAGCCTCTCTGAAACCTTGCCCTCAATATAAACATGGCGTGTTTTCCATTTTAAGGGGTATTCAAAAGATCAAGGTAGGGAGACAGATGATACAGTCGCAGAAAGTCTTTGTCCAGCAAGTGATGATAAAAGCACTTTATGATAATGATAATGCCTGTGCATTGTGCAGAAATTTCAATTTCGTACACAGAAGTATACCAAATACTTAATTTTATTTTTGCTTTCCTAATTTTTCAACAGATTCAGTCTCTGGAAACGTAAAGCTAACAGTCTGACTGGGCTGATGAGTTTGGTTGCCGCATCTTGAACATTTAATTTTTCCTTATGCGCTGGCGTCTGTTATTCTTTAGCACAGTCACACTGAATATCAATTAGGAGGCGGGAAGATGATTTTGGAAAACCTGGGTGAGGGGGATGAGATGCTGACTGAGATTTAGGCTGTTCTGAGTGGGGAGGCATGTTTGCTTTGAATTCTTTCTCGACTTTGGTATTAAACTACATGTACTCTGCAGTGACATGCAATTTTGAGATCCCTGTTTGCATTCTTCTCTCCAAAATCACAATAAATGGTCTCTTCCGTGGGCAGGAAGACAAGACAAGTGGTCAGTGCCAAAGTTATTTAGCAGATGGTGCTTGAGTAGTGAGCAACATCATCATTTCAAGTGTAAGGCACATAATGGATGTCTACCGGCCTGGCAAATGAGACCCCCGGTGTTACTCACATGCTTCCGTCTCCCATCCTGCAAGATGCTGCCATCTGTCAAGACACCAAGCCAGGCCTCACTTAAATAAATAAATAAATAAATTCTCCCCTTCTTTCCAAAGCTTTTGCCATCTCCTGAGTTAAATAAAAGCCATGTGTATATTCATAATGTGTGGGTTTATGTATATAATACATGGGAGATACGGAAAAGTATAGATGCAAATATGAGAAATGCACCTTTGGGTTCTGTTACTTAGGACAGACAGTGCTAATGCATGGTAAACATTTTCAGAAAAATACTCTGGTTTTGTAAGTGCCATTATACACCAAGTGTAAACAGTATTGGCTCTTGACATAGATCAATCTCCTCTTTCTGTGTCTTTCGGCAGAGTGTGACAAGCTGCGGCGGGATGGCTACCGGAGCTCACAGTATTACTCTCAGGGTCCCACCTTCTCCTCATCCTCCAGTGCAATCTGTGGAAGTTACCAGGATGATTATGAAGAAATTGAACAAAAGGTAATGGTGGGGGGTAAAGTGCTGGAAAGAATACATGCCTGGTGCAGTTCAGTTGCCGGCCATAACATTGTTCAAATAAGGTAGGATTTTCTGAAGGTCATGAAGATGCTTATTCCTTTGGATTACAGTGATATTAGGTCATCTGATTTCCATAGTCTCTTAAAAATACCAGTTCTCCCCCTGCATTTATATAAAGTTCCCACTGGCATGTACAGGGTGTGAAAGCCAGAGGAATTTGTTGCTGTTCTGGAGAGAAGACCCCAACAAGGATGGCTGTTTTGGATCTGTTAAGTGTTTACATTCAAGCAGCAGGAATAGCTGTTAACCAGCCATCGGTGTACAGTGCAACAGAGACAGTGGGCACTGGGGGGTTATGCAGTTTCACTAAGTAGAGGCTTTGTCCTAATGCATCACAACTCTTCGGGTAAAGGCATCCAGAAGAATGAAAAGATTGCCCACTACCTTGGGTTTATCAGCTTGCTTTCAGTTTGCTTCATCTGTTTCATATTTATATGCCCACATCTCAACTCCAGGTATGTTTATCTTAGAATCCAGAGACTGGACAGCTGAGCACAGGTCCTAAGAACGTTGTGAGGACATTGTTATATACACCAATTTATATTAGTTTCAGTTACAGATCTAGTAAGTTGCATTAATATTGTAAAGAAGAAAAGAAATTTTGCTGCCTTGTCCTTACCTTACCCTGTTGTGCCTGTGAAAGAGAAGCTAACTTTGGTGTTGCAGGCTAGGGTGTTGCTGCTGGGGTGGACAGAAAGATGCACTGGAGCCTGGCTGTCTAAAGCTGAAATATTGGAGCTCCTGGGATTTTCAAGATAAATAATTTAGAATACTTTAGAATACTTTGCCACAAACTACTGTTGCTTAGAGCGTGGGAGGATATCCTTGATTGCAGTGCAGTTTAATTTCTTTGAATTGTCACTAAACCATATGTGCCTCTGTAGCATGGACAAAATAACAAACTGTGCAAATCCTGAGAACTCACTTTAAAGGGTACAGTGTTTTCAGTTCTATCCTCCATGGGTTTTAATCACATAATAAAAGGTGTGTGGAATATGTACAGTCTCTCATCCAGGTGGTGACTGCATTATATCTGTGTATTGGCAGGGAATGTTAGAGCATCTTGTTTAGCTGTGTGTGGTATGTACTGGCAGAGAGCAGAGAATGTAAAGCACATTCATACTGTGGAATGTATTATAACAGTAATTTGAAAACCTTGCTGAAATCAGTGAAATTATGATTTCCACTGAGGAAGGTATTAGTGCATTGTTGCTACTAATATACTGCATATATATGTATATGTTATCAGCTGGTCTTAGCCAGTGCTGTGCAGCATATGACCATCTGCATATGTAAAAACTAATGTAACATTTAAAAAATATAAATACACTTTTCTTTAACAGTTTGAATGAGATAAGCATGGGTGAGGCCTCTTAGAGACTACGAGCTGTCATCCGTATCTTGGTTAAGGGTTTTTTGGAGTGTTAACATAATGTGTCACTAACAATTTCTTTGCATTCTGAAAAAAAATCAGTGCAACTAAGTATGCTTCAAGGATATGATAACACTTCCATTTCAAATTGGAATAGTTTCCTTTCAATATTTTTAGCTGAAAGGATGATTCAGAGCTGTGGAGAAAGATAGTTGCCAAAGTGATAGTCTTGGGTGTTACTGATTATCTCAGAACCTTAACCTTAACCCTGCCACTCCTATTTGCAGCTCAGAGAGACATTAATGCCTTGTTAACTGCAGTGTGACTCTCCCCTCGTATTACATAATTCAGTGTTTTGTGGGGTCCTTTGACCAGTATCCTTGTTTAATTGGCTTTTTTTGTAATGGCCTAAAATTTTGCTCTTTTTTAAAATGTGCTCTTACCAGAACAGATCTCTGAACTTGAATTATAAATCCCACTGGTAAAGTGCCAAGTAATTCTAATAAGTCTTATGCCTTGAGCGAATCGTATTTCATCTGTCAGAAGCGTTCTTCAGTAACAGTGTGGAACTGGGGTCACCAAAATCCCATGATTCAAAATGTGAACTCTTCACCACTAGCTGAAAGCTTTATAGCTTTGTTGTCTATTCAAAGCAAAAAAGCCAACATTTAAATTCTGTACATGCAGTACCTAATAGTTGAAATTCAAGAACAGCAGAATAATGATGAGTGGATGAATAGCTGTTACTGGTTGGAAATTTACTTCTAAGTTGTCATAATTGCCAACTTGCAGAATAAACAGTGTTTTGCTGCATGGTGATTTCACAAAGGAAACTATCTTTCCCCACTCTCTTTAGTCTGCTTTTTAAAAAAATGAGGCCAGATATTCTGCCTGTCTGTCTACACTGGAGACGATATGAAACCATGGCTTGGTGATGCGAGAGGACACCTTGATCCACAAACTTTCTCATGTTTAGTGATATAAAATGAAGTTCTTGGAACTGCCCTTTTACTCTTAGGTTGATTCTTACAAGTTATATTAATGGAGCACACACCAAGTTTCACTACAGTGTATTTCTGGTGATCCTAATTGAATTTGAGATTAAACTGGTTTATCTGGATTTTATATATCACTACTGTGACCAGTATATCCTCCTTTTTCATCTTTACATACCACTGTTGGTGATGCAACTTGGGAGCTATTTCTGTCCTTCACTATCACTCTGTTTTCCGAGTGTCAAAAGTTGGATTGAGATGTCACTATCAAACTCTGGTTCTCCTTGAAGTTCTGAAAATGTATACATTCTGTACATTAAATGTATTTGTCTCTTGTGTGGCTTTTTTTCTCATTCTTTTTTCTTTCCCTTTTTATCACTCATTCTCTTTGTTTCTTTTTGTCTCGCTCAACAGTCTAGTCTGTTAGACTGCATCTCTCGGTCTTGCGTTAGTGCCTGCTGTAACTTGATTCCCTGGAGCAAAAAGGTACTTTGCCCACAAGTGGGACCATCCAGCTGCCATATCTGCAGCTTGATGTTACTTGTAGCATTTAGCATCTGTGCAGTCTTATTCTGTTCTTAGCCTTCAGTTGTTACCTGCTTCTGTTTTCTGTTTTATAAAATAATTTTAAAAAATCAACTGTTTAATGGAATAATGCCATGCTGTCTTTGTTTCCTTTATTTTTCCTCATTACTCCTTCTTGCCCAGATTCCAACATCCTCTGTTTACTTGGTTCACTGAAAATTTTATTTCTTTTTGTCTATTAACATTTGCCTCCTTTGAAACCACTCCCCCAGTGAACACTGTCTTTTCTTTAAATGGCTGCCTCATTGGTTTTTAATTAGCCGAGGAAAACCCTTACTAATTTGGAGTAATGTATTTTTCTTAAATGATGAATGTGAACTATGGAGAGTACTTTCTCCTAGGCATGCAGTATATTATGTCTTTATTCCATCTATGAAAATGTTTGTATGCCAAAAACTTAGGGTATTTTTCTTCAGGTACTGTTATATGGCTTATGAACTTTGACTCAATACAGTCTGTTAAACTTCGGGTGCAAAAACATTTATTTTGCTCATTCATGGGGAAAAAAAAGTATATTTTTGCCACTGTACTCAGCCAAACCGTTAGTTGTCTCTTCAGTATCTGCAAGAGAGTGTTTAGTATGTTAAGTGAAACCAAATGCATTAACTGTATTGGCTTGAGAGCCTTGAAGAGTTCTAATCCAAAACTTTGGTGTTAAGAGGGCTAAAAACAGTTGGGCACTCAAGTTTGGAGGTGGGAATATTCTCCTGAGAGCCCTGAGGCATCAGCTCTAGCAGGACTGGAGATATTTCTAGGTGGTGTCCTCAGCTGGCCTCCCTGTCCCTCTGCTGCAATTGCATGGAAGTGCTCTTGTAAGCAGCACATGTATTTTGTACCACTTCATGTTTTTTTGAAAATACTGCTCAATTTACTGAATTGAAACAGCAAAGTATAAAATGCTAAAGCATCAGGAAGTGGATATAGAAACTCTTTGAATAAAGCAAAGAGGATAAGTCTTCACTTGCCACGTACACAGTGCAACTGCTGCAGGAATTGTGAATGCTGAAAGTTCATATGGGTTCAGAAAGCAACTGGGTAAATTCTTGAGGGGGGAGTACTCCATCCAACACTGAGAGAATATTCAGGGGAAGGTATCCACTGTATGCATCCTTTGATTTAATTTCACCTGTATATCATTGATTGGCCATTATCATAAGGCAGATACTAGGTAGGCTTTTAGAGCTCTGAACTTACGCAGTACAGCTCTTATGTTTTTAATCTCATTGCAACAGAGTAGAGGCAGAAGAAAGGAACATTTCTGCAGTGCTGGTTAAGATGATAACTTGCCTGATGGTTAGTAATTTCTGATGACAAAAAAAAAAAAATCACTTCCTTACTGAGACAGTGAAGGTGATGATGTGAAGGATCTAGGAGAATCGGAAGGTTGTCTAGCGCAACTGAAGATCTGTGTGTTGACGTAATAAAAGGGAATATTCTACAAAAATTAGGAGAACTAGACTGGGGACTTTGGTCTGGAGGACACCAAATAGAAAGATATGACTATTTCAACTTGTGTAAATTTATGTGGCAGTGGTACATAATATAGTGTGAAATCCCATGGGTTGAAGCTGACACATAAAGTGACATTCTTGATTGACCAAGAAAGAGGAATTTAAAGGTTTGGGGCTTGGCTTTTTTTCCCCTGTTATTGTTTGTCTTGATCACTTTGCATTGGGTAAAAGGGCATTTGAAGCCATCAAACCTAGTAAAAGTCTGGAGAAGAAATAGGATGTTGGCAAATAGTAATAGACAGCTGAATTGGTATGGCTGCTGTCCGCTACACTGTTTTGTTTTTTTTTTTCCTGACAATTTTGTTTTTCTGAGAAACTACAATTTTAGAAGTGATTGCAGTAGACAGTGAGGTGAATGACATGACTACGAGTTTGAAGTTCCTTTGCTGAAAGGTAAAATTTATATGGATTGAATTTTCCTCCTAGAACTTCCATCTTTTTTCAAACAGTGTAGTATAAACCCCTGGAATATAAAAAGATTAAGAATAAACAGGTTATTTAGGCAGAGCGTGCTGCAAGATACACAACATATACTTACTTGTCATCTGGGACCTCTCAAATATCGTGAACGTGCTGAGATAGTGAAACCCTTTTGTTGTATCTCCGTGGCTGAAATAGGCTGGGGGACAATATGTCAACAAGGCATCGGAGATACTCTGATTTTCTGAGCCATATTATTTGTCTGTAGGGTATTTATAGGCCATTTTTCTCCTTGATTCTCATTTCAGCTCCCATTTGAAAGTTCATGCGTTTTCCCCTCTTATGCATATTTGTGGAAACACTGCAACTGCTGCTTTCACATCCCACCTTTCCCTTCTCCCATGTCCATTACAAAGAATGAATTCCAATGAATTTTCCTGAGGAGATGAGTCTAACATCCCATTGCACAGAAATTTGACCATTTAAGTCTAGGAATAAAGTTATTACGAATCAGAGATGCTTTAAAAATGGGACAAGTGCTTTCTGTTCTGTTATGAACATAGTGTTTACGATCAACTTTGATAAGCAGATACATAATCTCAGAGTACTGCCTATTCCAGCTCTATTTCTGATACAGCAGACCTTAAGCAGCAACTTACTGCATCTTCTGGCACGCTTCTGTGTTACAAATCTGGGAATGTTTGCTTTTATATTATGTAAATTTCTATTTTCATCATGATTATAGAGGTAAATAATTTCTGTGAAGAAAGCTGAAAGCTGGACTATTGTTTTCCTCTGTGCAATAAGGTTGTGTATGGCTTTGTCATGCCCCTTAAAAGTAGCTTCACATGAAGAAACCCCTATATCACTATGCTTGTGAGTAATTTGGAAGAAAGAATTTAAGTAGAGACAGTCATGCTTCTTCAGGAACCATGGAAAGAGTACCTACAGATGAAACATGAGTACTTATTCCTACACCCAAACCCACCTGCAATTCTTTTACTGAATTATTTTGTAGAAGTACACCACTGTCCTATGGCAGAAAATCATTCTTACTGAGACAGTGCTTTGAACTCAACTGCACAGTTGGATTTTCAATTGCTTTTCATTCATTAGATGCTCACTGGGCTGATTCATTTCTCTCCGTCTTCCTCCATCTGTCCCCAGTTTTCTCAACTTTTAATTCTGCAATATTTGTAATGGTTGTTTCACATCTTCTTGGATAATTAGGATTCCCTTGTAGTAGATGCTTCAGTTCTACAGTTTTTCTTATATACTGTAACAGAAGTGTTCTGCCTGGTTTGGGTAATTTCCTTGAAAAGGAAGTGTGGCTTTGTAACCAATATCTCTGCCACTTGACATATTGGAGTAGCCCCTGGTGACTTCTGTAATCACAGCTGAGACCTGGCACTGCAGTATAGTCTGAATGTGACAGATATTGATGCAGACAGTATCAAATAAACAGAGTATCTGAAGGTCACCGGACCTCATCCTCACACCCCACACAATCTGCAAAACCAGGCTTGAGGTGTCTCCCTTGGTGCCCCAAGTCAGGTGGAGAAAAGCTTTTTGTAGAATGGGGAAAGCAATTTTTCTTTTCTCCAACTCCTGATTACTCCTTTAAGTGCACACACAAGTGCCTGCCATGACACTGGGCTAGCACCCCAGTGCCTCATTCCTTACAAACCTTTTCTCTCTCTCAGCTGTTTTAAACCTAATTGGGAGGAAGCATGGCCTGGAGGCAGCTTTCCCTTCTGCAGTGGCATTTCTCTCCCAAATTGCTTAAGTTAATGAAGGTTTTTATGAATTTCAGTGCTTTGAGGTGGGAAAGCCCTTGTGTTTGTTGTGTAAGTACATATAAATATGTGTGCCCACACTATATATGTGTATAAACAATCTATGTACACAACACTCATAAAAAATAAGCATTCACATTACATTTTTCTAGAAATGGCTTTAGAGCCTTTTAAAAGCAGTGCAGGCCTGAAAAAACGCTGCTGTCTTGCGAGAAGCTTGTATTGAAAGAATTACTGGGGCTTTCAGAGGGCTGAGCCCTTTCCTACAGAGCAGCATATATCCCATCTACAGTCTCCCTTATAAAGAAATGCAAGATTGACAGAAGAGGATTATTTCCTTGAAGAAAAGCTCCCATGCTTCAGACTGTGTTTCCAATCCACAAGCTAACATTCGTAACATGTTTTTTATTACCTAAAGAGATTTAACTTTTCTGTTGTTTTACTTTTTGCCTGAAAGTTGCTTTTATTTTTAGTTTTTATTAAATAAAATGTTGGGTCCTGTCCTAAAGGATGCAGAGTCAAAGCATAATAGAATAAATAAATTGTTGTTTATTTATAAACAGCAGGAACGCCTCATGGTAACAGGAAGAAATTAAAGTCGGAAATGATAAACAGTGTTTGCGGCACAATGTCTGGGCATGTCTTTTGTATAGCACTCAGCTTCAAGAGAAAACAGATCGCTTCGACTGAAAACCCATAATAGTAAAAAAACCCCATCTGTTGTAAATAGCTGTGATGTTGCTTTCCATGCCCATATACATCCGTGAGGGAGTAACTATCGGGAGAGGCAGTGATCTAGTACTAGCAACCCTACTTTGGTACTATTCTGCTCTCCAGATGGATAGAGGAATAAAGAAAAGGGGGAAGCACGGTAACTCTGGTCTGGTGGTAGAGATGGAGGTCCCAAAGCAAACACCCCTAAAGCAGAGGAGTCAGGAGATTGCAGAGGGATCTCTGCTTGTGCTGCAGCTGCTACACAACTCCTCTTCCATGTTTTGGGTTTTTTTTTTTCCTCTTTTTTTTTTTTTTTTTTTTTTTTGCCTGGGGGCAGGAGGAGGCAGAGATTGTTTTTTCCTCCAGGTCTTCCTTCTCACCTGCTTCTGGGATTCTCTGGGGTGCCTTGCTGGCAGGAGCAGGGTGGAGAGAAGGCTGCTACTCTTGGGTTTGCTTGGAGCTTGTGACCACCTGCTAGAATAGCCCCAGTAATGTCTTCTTTCATGCCCTGAACCTGCCTGTTCTCAGAGTTTGCCATGAACTAGTACTGTCTTATCAGTAAAAAGCTACATTATGGCTTTCTCTGCCATTACTGGCCTGTAAGCGAGGACCTTATAATGAAAATAGATTTGCAAATGGCTTTTTTGGTTTATAACTGTCTGGTGGAAGGATTTGCACAAGCTGTTGCAACTTCTTTTTCTGGTGCACAAAGTTTTTTGTTTCATTGACTGGTTGGTTTTTTTTAAGTGAAACACTCCATCATGGAGGTGAAAACTGCCACTTTGATAAGGAATGGTTTTTAAAATGACAGTTCTATGGCTACTAATATTGTTAACTGTTTCACCCCTGAAAAATGGGCAAAATTAATCCCTTGAGTATGGCATGAGTTTCTCTAAGACCAAAGCAGTTACTCTTGCTACCTTACTGATCTGTGGCTGATGATTTTGTAGAGTGCATTGGCTGGTTCTTTTGCTGAGCCTCCCAAAATCTGTCTCCTCATAACAGGCTTCTTGCTGAGACCTTGCACATCCTTACAACCTAGTACAGCTGGAGCAAAGCAGTGCTCACGTCTCATCATCCTAATAGGTCACCAGGAGGGGAGAGGGGAAGGAAAGGCAAACTGCCGTGCAGTGGGAGCACTTAATCACTTCAGGGACGATGTCAGTTTCTAAGATAATTAGTTACTGTGCTTTGCTATGCTCAAGACCACGCTTTTTTTCTCTTTCATTAGTATATATTCCTTAGACTGATCAGATATCTTGGATAAATACAGTCCAGGTGTTTTGTTGTGGGTGATTTGTTGGTGTGTTTCTCAAATTACTCTTTATGTAGATCAAAATGTGATAATTTGTGAGGGTATATTTTGCTCCGCAAGCAATCATGATGACTGCAGTGGCAGTAGCCTTTAGTAATACCATAGTCCTATCTTTTTTCTTGTTGTTGTTAGTAAACTTACATTGTTGCATGTATTTCTGTTTGTAGTGTCCTGTCTCTTCCTCAGAAGAAGAAAAGCTTATTACCATCAAAAGGCCTAAAACTCCAGTTTCAAATGAGTTATCAGATATCAACACTCAAACCAACTGGACTAAGTCACTCCCACTGCCAACACCTGAAGAGAAAATGCGACAGCAAGCACAGGCAGTACAAACAGATGTGGTTCCTATTAATGTGACTGGTAGGCTTTTCATTTTGGCAATTACGTTACACTGATGAGGGAGGGAAGGGATAAAAGGGGATACAGTTGGATAGTATTTTGACACTCATACATTTGATGCATGAATTTTTGAATTACATATTGCACTTGTCTGTGAAAACAGTGTTTAAATAGTCTCTCTCCTAAATAAATCAGAAAACCTCAAAATCCCTTAAAATTAGCATTAATGAAGGTAGTCCACAACGTGGGCTTGAAACAGTATTAGATATTCCTGAAATACAAGAAGAAAATTGATAAATAAGTGTTTTGCTGTGGACTGCACTGAAGATATTTAATGGAAAATCAATGTTTTATGCAATGCTAATGATATTTCAGGATTTTCTTCTAGGAATTTTATGTGAGGAAGGTTATCAGGGACTTCTGTATTCCAAAGACTAAATGTTACAATATTAAAGAAAAATCCCTCTAGAGTCCTATTTTTATTGGCAACAAGAGGCTTAGGTGTCAAGGAGAGTAGGGTAAGAACAGCAAAAGTTGATGGGGCTGTGTCTTCGAGCAAGACTGTTGGTAAGACACTCCACTTACGTGACCGTAGTCCACATTTTCTTGTTATGGACTGTGTTTTAACTCTTCATTTTGAAAATGCTTCTTTTACAGTTGCAGAACTCCTGCTTAACTTCTGTGGAAGTTAAATTGTTAAAGCCTAATGCTGAATAGATACTTTATTGTGTGTAAACAGGATTTCTGTGAAAGATTGAATTATCACTTCAGTTTAATAATCACTTTTTCTGCACATTACCAAGATTGTCTGTTATTAGTTATTTCAAATAACTAACCGTTTGCCTGCCAAAACCAGGATGGTATTCAATATCCAATTTATTACAAATGCTATATGACATGCTCTGACTCCACGCTCACTTGTACAATCAGTAGCTTGCAATGTTTGGGGTTTTTTTGAAAGTAAATTAGGTGTTCTCTTTCTCTGCATGACTACCAATGATTTCTTTACCTATATTTTTATAAACTAGTATTTTAAATAGTATTATTTAATAGTATTTAAATAGTATAGGAGCAGTACTTCTGTGACAAATATCAGAGAGCTCTGAGAAATGAATAAGAAATGTTTTTCTAAACAGAAGAAAGTATCTGAAATAAAAAGGATGAAGACAACAGAAAATTACAAACACCCTACCTGTGGAAAATTAATAGAAGGAAAACAAATGCAATGCTGAAACATTACTAGGCTGGTTATCACTACCTAGTAGGATACAGGTGCAGGACGCCAAGTTAGGGAACAACAGATAATCTGATGTAATTGATAAATTTAAGCAGGATTTAGATATTGTGACAGCAGGAACAGGGTATACTTACAGAAAGAGTAATCTGCTGTTCGGTTTAATGACCCTGCATACTGAAAATACATGGGGGCAGTAAACAGATGGAAGGAAAAATTGGGTAAAAGAGATCAAATAACCCTCATAGATTTAATTCAGTGTCACTGGAAACGTTACCGTGTTTGGATAAATTACACTTGTGACTTCAACCACCTTAATTCAACTGGTGTAGCAAACCTTGTTTCCCCTGAATTGTTTGGTTTGCACTCAGCAAACTTGGCGGTTCTCAATTTTTCTGATAAAAATAGTGCACATGCATATTACACCTCACCTTTCTGGAGTGTGCTGTTGAGCATTTGTTCCCTTATAAACATGGTACTTGGAAGGGAGAGAAAGGTAAAGGAAGACTCTACTGTTGCAGTGTGTCGACTGGTCTCTGGGATCCATTGTTTCCTTTCCTGTGGAATAGTTATAGTGCTACTGTGAAACAAGGCAAGCAACAGTAACAGACTACAAGCTACACACAACAACAACAAAAAAAAAAGCTGCTGTCCTTGTTCCTCTTTAAAAAGTCACAATCTGCTCCCCTCCTCTGCCCTCCCACATGCAGAGTGAATTTATTTTGTGAAGTTCCTTATGTTACTGCATGAGGCAAGAAAAAAACCCCGAAAATTCTCTGCCGTTTTTTTCAGCGTGCCGTGGAACAAACCACACGGGTTTTTGTTTTGATTTGGCTTTTTTCTTTGCTTGCTCTTTTTCTCATTCTCCCAGAAGAGAGGTCAAAAAACTCCCATTTTATTACTCCTGGCATGAAATAAAAGGTTAACCTCTGAAGAGGCTGCTGGCAATTGACAGCGTTTTCAGCAGTGAATCGGTAATGATTCTGCTACAATGGCCTCTCACGTGGCTGTGCAGTAAATGCTCGGCAAGTTCAGCTTTCAGGGCTCTTTGGTGAACAGATTGCAACTAATAAAGTAGTAGTAAAAATCTGTTGGATAGCCTAAAGGTGCAGGGGTATTATTGCATTAGTCTGACAAGCTGGTGACTACACATCCAGATTTGGAAGCAGTCTTTGGGAGTGCCTGGGCTGAGCTTATTCTGGCCTGGACAGGGTTGGGCTGAATTTTCAGTGGTGGCCAATCTTCGCTTTTACATATCCTTGGGGTTAAAAGATGTATAATGGTGTCTGCTCTCATGGGTTTTCTGGAACTAACTTTCTTTCCAGATGGACAAGTTTGGTGATGGTGGAGGTGATCAGCACCAGGCTGGATCCTGCAAAACATTTAAACGTTTACTTGAGTCTGGTTTGAGTGGCTTCAGTGAGATTTAAGCACATACTTAAATATTTCCAGTGAATCCAAGGAAACTGAGTAAACTGTATAAGGAATGCCTAGGTGATTTGTTACAAACCTGTAATAGAAGGAGAATCTTAAATCTGCAAAATATATTTAATTTTAACATCTATATTAAAAAAAAAAAAGATGGCAATGAAAAATTGAAAATACTGAGACATTCTCATTTTGCTTGTTGGAATTTATTGAAGCTGCTACTTTGAAATTCTACAAATTTGCACAGTGGCTTTGAAAAAGCCTTTGTGTATCAAAAGCCATTGAAGGTGGATTGGTTGAGTTGGGTAGCTCAGGGGAAGAAGTTACTGTGAATCAACTGACACAGTAACATTTCCCCATGGTCATCCTGTTTGTGCTGTCTGAGGCTTCATGTAAAAGGCTCTCTCCTTGTTTGCACCCTCTACTTACCATTTACATTTTATTCCAGGGCATTCAAAGCTGTATTTTAATTTCCTTGCAACTCGGTGTCTCAGGCGTAATTGTTGGCCTTTGAATGGATAAAGATATGTTCAGAGATGCAAAACTTTCCCCTTCAAATTCTTTGGATTTGTTATTATGCGGCTAGAATTATTATTCTCCTGCATGGCAGGATTGCCTAATGGTCCTGACCCTGACCCCATAAGGGTCCTAACGTCCTAATAGTGGTAATGCCCCAGACAGTGGATAGTCTCTGTTGATATTTCAGGGCTTCTACTAAGCCGGTGGGATCCATAGCTCTCAATTTCATAGATCCTGCTCCCTTAGTCTGCCCAGACTTCAGTCAATCCAAAACTTAGATGAAACTGGCACTTCTTTGTAGCCGCAAGCGTTCTACTTAGCACAAGCGTGGCTTATGAGAGCACAAGGCTTCAGTCAAACAGAGTCAGAGTCTTTATATTTACAGTATGGTGAATGAAACTGCTGTTTTTTCCTTGCATTTTCACAAGTCCACATGCTATACTTTAATATATGACTGTATCCTTAACTATTATAGAGGTAATGAGGTTTTCTATGCTATTTGCATGACACACATCATGCTGATGTGTAGTCAGCCAGGGATAATATTTATGATGTATTCGTTACTGTGCATTAATCACTTTTTAGAGGTAAATAATTTGGTCATAAATTCAAAAAAAGCGTACAAGGCAAAAAACGTGCACATATATCCAGCTTTTTCTGCATTTAAGTTTTAAATGGGTCATCTAAAGGACATTTAGCAGTGCTTAAAAACACTTCGACTTCTCAAAACATGCATGTGAGATATGGGGGTAGTCATTAGATTTTTAGAAGTGACAGCTATAGGGCAAGTTTTATCTTACTGCTAGTAAAATGGCCAAATTATAAACCTCTAACCAAAAGTGAATTCCTAAAGAAAAGCTGCTTAATGATAGTGGTGCTTCTGGGTCCCATTATGATACAACACATGGTCATCATAAGGCTTTGTCTGGCAACGTGCACTTACACACGCATTTTTTCATCTCTTGCTGTTGTATATTTTTCTAATCGTTTATAAAGTTTCAATTTTAAGCAGCTTACACTCTGAAATATTTATGAGACCACAAGATCAGTTTGATCTCTGCATGCTCCATAGGACTTATTTGTATTCATGTTAAAAGATCACCCCCAGAAATGTGGTACACTTGACAGGTTCAGAGCAACTTGGAATGAAAAAGAAATGTCTTGTGTGATTTAATGATGGAGCTGTGCAAAGACATTGTAATAACTGATGCCAATAGCAATGTCTGTTCCTGCATAAACCATTGTGATCTTTCATTTTCATGAGCAGATTTGCTTTTTCTGCAGCTCATTACTTCAAAATAAAACAACAAAACCACACTAAAAGCTACAAAGGGTCAAATTAAAGCAAGGATTCTGTTCACTTTTGTGGAATTAGAGCTGGTCTCACCATTTCTGAGCTGGACTCAGGAAGTCAAAATTCCTTTTAAAACCTGCATTACTGTGTAACATTTATGTGTGTGTAAAGCCTTACTGTGATGATATGTTGTATCTTCCTTCAGTGTAAACCTTCATTGTAGGACCAAGCTAACATCATTTATTAATGCCTTTTTTTCCATTTCTACAACAAAACTAGTGGAAGAAAGTGCATGGTGTCAGTGTGCTTGGAAGTAATGTTGCTTTGCTTGTTCTACCATGTATTAGGGGAGAATTTCGACCGCCAAGCCAGCATTCGGCGGTCTCTAATTTACACAGACACGGTGGTAAGACGGCCGAAGAAAGTCAAAAGGAGAAAGACTATTACAGGAATCCCTGACAACATACAAAAGGAGCTAGGTATGGCTCATCAGAACTGTATTCCGTCCACTGTTCATTGTCACTGCTTATCATTACTTGACTAATAACATTACCAGTGCTCATGAAACCAATACAGTCTGATAGCCGATTATAGTTCCAAATATGTGTGTGCCTCCTTGCCACCTTGTGCATCGGGAAATTAGGACCTTTTTTTCTGTTGACTTCCATCTGTTGAAGGGAACAGGGTATTTGGAAATTGGTGTATTGGTACAATGGAAATCTGCAGGCATGTAAGGTTTCTGGTCGTTAATGCTTTCCTGGAGGTGTGGTCAACTCCCTCAGGATGTTCACTGAAGCATAATTAAGTGAGCAGGCATTTTGACTTGTAAATAATTACTCAGTGGAGTAAAACAATTCATGGATGCCTTCCTGAATCTGCCGAGAGTTGCATCAACAATGAAAAACCCATATATTTTCCAGTTCAGTTTAGATCTAATTGGCGTCCCCCTAAGTATCAGTGTTATTTGATTGGAAGTCATTTACATGGGCTCATTAGCTGTTGCATATATTCCAAAGGAAAAATGCCTATTCGGTCACATTTACACTACCTCAGGCTGTCCTCTTTCACAGTTAGTAGCATACATGATATTCAAAGCTGATGAAGCAGTCTGAATTTTGACAGACCTTCCAGATACTTTTTTCAGAACTCTTTGATTAAACTCTGGTCATTCTGATTTACTTTTTAAAAGGTGTTTCGTTTTTTTTCCAAACAATAACTTCACAGATAAAATGTTGCTCCCTTCCTTTTTTCTTTTTTTTTTTTTTTCTTTTTTTTTTCAGTAGAGGAATATTATATTTTGAAATAGTCTGGCAGAACTTAATTTTAGGTGCTTTACATGTGGAATCATCTCATATATTGATGATTTCAGTGTGTTTTACTACCTTGCATTTTGCATCTCTTTTTTAATTATGTGTTCAATTCTTGGTTCTCTTGTCTAGATTTTTCAGAAGCACAAATATGTAACTTGTCTGGATGGGTTTGAAATGATCTAGAGGGCCAGGCATAGAGAAAGCCAAGAAATGAGCAAGTACATGAAAAGCAGCTGTGCTCTTTCAGCATCTGTAATGAAACAGTGCCCTGCTATGGGAATCCTCTGCTTCAAGAAAGAAAATTCAGTTGGCTTAAACCTGTTAGGACAGCTAAAGTTAGGCAGCTTTAGAATTCATTACCTTTGGATCTCACATAATTATTTTATTTCTAACTGCTGCTCTGAGATTTGTACAAAGCTGTCAGGTGTCTCTGTCCATCTCTTGTTTTGGGATGGATGCTGTTTTGTGCCTGCTGTAGGGAACTTCTGAACCCCTCCTCATAGTGTGAGTTCCCTTCCTTTCTCTTCCTGTACATAGTGGGCTGTGCCACCTGGCAGGAGATACTTTCCAGACCTCTTGGTATAGCATACCTTCCAAGTTCTCTTGGAGGCAAAATCTGAATTTGTTATTTCCTGGGAGAGAATGACACATTTATCAGCCTTGCAGTCAACTATAAGCAAGCTTGAGAGTTAAACAAAATAAAGTAGATTTGTTCTAACCAAACAAAGATCAAAGCTGGAAACAAAACTACATGAAACTTGAATACTGAATTATTCTTAATAAAAGATTCCCTTCTCCTTTTGAGTCTGTCTGAGGCTAATCCCTCAGATACAATGTTGACAGCTTGTTTGAGAATAGCAGAGACAACCTTCATCCTCTATCATCTGTTCAGGATGGATACTTTTTACATTCCCTTCATCCATTTTAAACTAAATTGTTTTGTTCTTTGTCTAGAGCTGAGATGAAGTGACCTGTGCTCCTTAAAAATGCTTGTACCATTTAAACACAAATCTGATACAGGACATCACTTAAACTGTTCATTTTCTGGGTCGTTACAGGGGTCTTGAGTCTAGTGTGTTATTCTGAAAGTGACACACTTACCAAAGTCACAGTTTTTGACGCACATTATCTTTGACACGTGTAGGACCTACCTTGAGAGCAGATAGAGGAGAAAAGCAGAGCAAAGCAGAACTTTTTTTTTTTTCTGCACTACTCTTTGTCACTTGTTGGAGTTCCCGACGCTCTTTCAGGCACATGGGTTTTGAAATGGGTGACAACAGTACTCGCATGGATGTCCAGAGAATGCTTCCTGCTGGAAGTGTTTCCAAAACTTCGAGGTTACATTTGTGACCACTTCAGACAGATGTTTAATTCTGGAAAACATGAACTGTAGTTTACCTGGCAGAATAAACTGAGAATGCATTTGGCATCTATCTTAAAAAGAATTCTTCAATTAATATCTTCAAAGAAGTTTGTGACTTTTGTCAATCTGTTTGCTAAGGGTGACAGGTTTTATGGTCTTGATTTCAGTCTTTCATCTCTGTGCTGAGCGCATCTCATGTTGCACTACTTGAAGGTTTTCCTTGGCTCCTATTTTAAGTTGCAGAAATTTCAGGGCTGGCAGTATCTCACTGTAGGAGCTCTCTCTGGATGGTTCCCTGGCCCACAGCCGGCAGGCACACAGGGCTTCAGCCATCTGCCCTACAGTGGAAGTTGTCTGAGGAGCTTCATGTTGCTTCCATGGTGGTTGTATGTCGTCCAGACAGCAAAATATATGCCAGGAAAACTCTCTGATGGCAGTATCCATCCTGTTAATGTATTACTTTCTATCACTAGAAACAAAAGTGCTCTTTAAAAGCGAACAGTTATCAGTGTCTTCATCTTTATAGATGGGGAAACCAGGCATGCTGCAGTGAAGTAATTTAGCCAGAGTCACCCACCAGGCTGCTGGCAAGGCTGAGAATAAATGAAGTCTCCCCCATCCTTTTCCAGTGCTCCTTCTGCCTTTTTTCCTCGGTCACTCCTCAAATATTTCTGTAGCTGTCCGTTCCCTATTTCTCTTACGCTGTCCCAAAACAAACAATGAGTTGTTTTAAAACATTCCACAGCTCATTTGATCAGAACAAGGATCCGGACTAAACTCCAAATCAAGCAATTGCATTGTGACTATTGACATTCTCCCTGTGGTTCCAGCTGAATAAATCTCTTTGTTTCTCCCCTAAAGCATTGCTGTGAATGGCTATAATATTTACACAAAGATTAAAATCCCTTGGTACACCAAAGTTGCTGTGCACAGGCTAAATAACCAACACATACAGCAGATTCTTGTTACCTCTTGTTTATCCTTCAGAAGGAAGCAGAAACTTGAGAGAACCTCAAAGCTTCAACCAAGCTTGAACTATTTTCATTTCTTGTGAGAGATCCTGGAAGAGCTTCTGCCAGGCCACGCTGCTGGGATTCTCCCCTGGCTGCTTTGGCTCCTTTGGCACAAAAAAGACCAAACAGAAGAGAAAGCTTGCACTGATTGCTGGCCTGAGCTCAGCAGCCGTGGTACCCTTGTAGAATTTAGCCAAATGTACTAAAAGTAGTCATTAACTGCACCCATGAGGCATGTGCTGAAACTATCTTTAAACATTCCTACTTTGAGTGTTGTAATACTGTCGTGTTTTCACAGGTGTCTTCCAGGGATGAACCAGTCTCTCTGCATAGACTGGAAACTTCCGCATTAAAAAATGCTGCATACATAAAATGGGATGTGATGGGATCCTAAGACAAAATAAGAATATGAGATGCCTGCCAGTTTAGAGATGCCAGTTATTTTCTGAACAGTTATTTTTTAACAGCAGGACCCTCTCAGTACTGTTTAGCAGAGCGACACCAAAGTAAGAGGAGAAGGCAAAGAAAGCATTCCTCCCTCTGCCAAACACAGCAATGAAAAAATTAGTTTTGCCTACCTATGAATTACCTTCATTGTCTTACAGAGCCTAAATATTATGTATGTATTAATGGAGTCAGTGTTGGATCAAAACTGCAGAAAGTGCAAGAAACTTTGAGATGATGTTTTACTTCAAGTTTCTCTGCTCTGTGTTGCCATTACCTATTGCTTCTAGCTGTCTTCTTTAGATAAACTGGTATTCTCCCTTCAGGCAGGAAGATGATTCCCAAACACAAAGTGTGGTAGAGATGAGCAGCTCTCTGAGAGAACCTGTTGCAGGCCTTGCTCGTTTCTTGGCTCTTGGTTGTCTTCAGCTTCCTTCACACATTCCAACTCTCCAGATGAAATAAAGGCAGGAAGACACTTTCACATTTCCATGGTCCCTTCTCTGTGTCAGTGCTTCAGGGTCTGGCTCAGACTAATTTTCTTTTTACAAAAGTACCAAGTTACCTGGTTGTGAGTGTTTTTCCAGAGCTCTGCACCGGTGCAGTCCCAGGCACCGATGGACAGCTTCTGGTGTCCTGGACTCCCTCCCTTGCCTTACAGGAGGAGCAGGTCCCAGACCTGAGTAGCAGTTTCACCACAGCTTATCTTCCAGGTAAACCCCAGAGCAGGGGAGAGGAAGCCATCTTCAAGTTTTCCACCTTTTGATTTCTTCTGCCAGGCATTTTGCTTTACTTTAATCAAACAGAAAGTTTCTGTCCTCTTTTGTTTTTCAGAAAAGTCTCCTAATTTTATGCTTTGTGTGTACTTTCCTTGAATTATTTCAATACTTCTTTTTCCATCTTTAGGTACAATTCAGGATCTTTATGGCTCTGTTGATTTTTTATGTTTCCCCCATCTACTTTTTTTTTTTTCTTCCTAACCAAAGGGTTCAGAGGGTCAGAATGACCTCATATGCTTTTTTTCAACTTATTTTCCTCCCATTTTCAGTAGCTCACAACGAGCTGTCACCTATAGGACCTCCTGTCAGTCATCAGGATGGATATGACTGACACCTGAACTATCAGTCCCTCATTTGCTTTCTTGTGGCACAGCTCAGACCCCCTATTGGTACCAGCTGGTGTCTCAGGTGTCATTTGGTGCTGTTGAAGCTTCTCCTTTGACATGCCTTAAAAGAAACCATTCTGTCTCAGCAACATGAGGGAACATAAGTCCTTTTTATCTTTGGGAACTCAGCTGTTCTATTAAGACTCCTCTTAATAGATACTCTTTTCCAGTTAGTCTCTTTGGCACTAGCAGTCATTAAACTTACAGGTCCCACAGGTCAGAAGAGTCCCAGATATCCAGTGGTCCTACAGAAATGCCACGCAAATACCCAGCTGTTCAAGCCAAGTAATTCTGCAATTGCTTCAGGTTGCAACTTTAACAGTCTTTGGGGAGAGTATCTCTCTTTCAGAGTTACTGTGCCTTTTCACCAATAGGAGTTTTATAGCTGTAGTTTCTCAACACTGTACATTTCCGGCGCTATTCATCCAGAGAGCAGGGTATTACAAAGTATGTATTATCTGCTTTTTGATAACGAGGGATGAAAGACAGAGATGCCAGGAATATAATCTTTACCAGTGGCTTTTCAGTTAGTGAAATGAACAGAATCAAGAAAACTGAAATTTCCTATATTTTCATCAAAATTCTCCCTTTCAAGGTGGCAGTGATATATTCAAGGATTCAAGATTTTTTTTAGATGGCAGTACTGAAAAGTACTGCAGGATTTTCTGCAATAATTTTCTCCTCGCTGAGAGATGTACAAATGCTTCATGGAGCACAGTGAAAATTCCTTAAAATTACCATAAGCCCAATGTGCTAGTCTGTTTTTTGTTGAGTGTCTATTAAAAATCATTTGGTATGTAAGTACTAGGGCGAAATAGATGAAGAATCTCTGAGGTTTTTTGTAGCACTGGAAGTTGCGGTGCCTGCACTGTGACTTGGCCAGGCCACCAGGTTTGGAGGAGGATTGCTAAATGAGGCATGAGGAGAAGATGAAAGCAACAAATCTTAGGAATGTGCCTACGGCAGAAGAGACAAATGCTCATAGTTGAAATGATTAGTCAGAAGTTTGGGAAGAGAGATTACTTCTGTATACTAGTTGAAACAAGCATGTTCTTTGTGATATCAACACACCTACTTTTTATCCTCTCAAATCCTCAGTTTTCTACACTCATTTCAATGCAGAGGCCCTTTCTGGTGACTCTCTGCAGCAAGCTGCTAGTGCCACTAGATCAGCCAGAGTCACAGGGAGATCGTCATCCAGTAGTGCCTGACCCTAGGGATTACATGCAGACGTTTTCTTTTTCCCATCAAATTTGTAGTCAGTCTCAATCCCTGTCATCTCTAATGGGCCGCACCAGTAACTGCCAGTCAGGGAAAACTGGTGTAACCTGTATATGCCTATCTTGGATCAAGTGCTTGGAGCTAAGGTATGCATTTGAACCTCTTCTCTGTGCTTCCATGCAAGAGTTGTTGAATACGTTGTATATTTCGCTTGTTCCAGATAGTGGGTGTTCTTTGCTTCCTTCTGGAGTCTACACTGAACATGTGCACTAGGGAGGAGCATTTGTCATGGGAGATATTTTCAGCATTTTCCGTGTAGCAAGAAGTAGGGTAATAAAGAATAACGGAGTGTAGATATAGGTCTCCTGTGGTGGACCTAACACTGGCTGCAGGGCTGCTGGACACAGGATAATATAAAATGCAGACAAGATGATTATTAATTACTTTGAGTCAGATTTATCATACCATCAAATTGCAGCCACTTTTGACTTCATAACATTCAGCATCTGTAACTTGATGTCCAGTTCTGCGGTATTCTTTGCTGCTGTGAGCTCAAACATTGCCCCTGCAACTAGATGACTTGTGGACAGGATTCTTTAAAAGCTCTGATTCAGTTCCAGAATTTTGGTATTGCAGAAATCTTGTAACTTCTGCCTGTTATTTATTTAAGTAGAGGTTTTCTGAGAGACGTAGCATTTTCAGTGTGATTGTCAGTTGAAGGTTTGAACTGTCCCTTAGAATTGGATTGTTCATCTTCTAGCTGCAGTACCAGCAAAGGCAGTTTGATTTTAAAGATTTTTTAAAACCCTTGCTTTTCAGTGTTACTCTGGAAGCGAGTGAGGGTTTTACAGTGTATTTGTAAACAGCAAACAAAATACACCTTGCTACCCTCCTCTGAATTCCACTAAAATCTTAAAACCCTTAATGTTTTAAGGGAATACCTGAGTCTTAAACGTCCTTTTGGTTGGTTTTTTGAACCACTTTCCCTGCAGATTTCTGTTGTTCCTTTTCAGGAAATGGAACTGTAAAAAAAAATTTTCTTTATTATAAAGGGCAAGTAAATCCTCAAAGCTTTGAGTGAGATTGGGCATACATGTCAAGCCAAAACCAAGGTTGAAGTAATTTCAAAATACACTGTATTTCTACAAAAAATATTTAAAACCTCAAAGTTGTGTTTTTGTAATTGCAACAGCCGTGAAAAGTCCCTTCTCTGACCATATGCCATATAATTATTGAAGGATTTAGCCCTGTAGTTTATAATTCTGAGACTGGGCTGTCTTGACCCCTCTGAAACCCCTATTTGTTTGGGCTCTGAACCATTCTAACTACAGGAGGCCTTGCACTGGTGCAAAGACCTGCCCCGACAAGCTTCCCTGCAGTATCAAAGTTGTAAAGGTTTACTGCTGTTGAGTCAGTTTATGCAGTTTCCATGAGCATATTAAACTAGACCCTAAATTACAAACACAGGGTTGGCACTGATGCTCAGCAGCATCCTGTGGTTGTCCATGCTGCCCTCTCACCATCATGCTCCTCCAGCACTGCTCTGGCCTGGACCAGCCAGCAGTCCCCAGGCTCTGGGCGTGGGTGCCAGGGGATGGAGCAGGAGCTGTTCCCCCAGGCATTTCTGTGCAACCGTCCTTGGCCTTTTTTATTTAGTGGCGTAGATATAATGCCAAGGTTTAATTTTGTATTTCAGACATCGCTGTGTGTTCACCATAAACAGCATGTCCCAGTAATGCATTCTAGCACTGCTGGTTTTGAAAGGAGGGAAGGGGAGGTTAGCAAGTCCAGCATTGTTCTGCTTTGCCATTTACCTTCCCTAGCAGTAATGTTTTAAACAAGCATAAACCATCCATCTGCATTACACTGCTTGTGAAATAGAGTGCGTTTAGCTTCCTTTGTGAACAGAAACATACTGCATACTGAAATGTGGTGCTCTCAGCCACAGGTCAGTATGTGACAGTATTAGATACTTGCTGTAGTGCTGACAGCTTCATTCTCCACCAGCCCCATCCTTCTGGCTTGTGTGTGTTTGTATTTGTGTGTGTATTTCACAGTAGTAGAAAGAAGAAAAACACCCCATCTCTTTGGTTATTTATATAACTTACTATGCAGATTTTTATTACTGGGTGTTTTTAATTGGCTAACAGTTGTCATCAGTGATGTCATGGTTCCAGAAACGTTCATAATGTCTACTTCAGTGTTTTTCACTCTCTTAACCAAAGGGGACACTGATCCTATAGAAAAAATACACATGAAAAACAAGATTAAATTATTTTTCTTACTTTACAGTTCTTAATAACTGTATACAGAATATGCTAATACCTCTCTTGGTTGGCTGCAGTAGTCCATCTGTTCCGACAGGATCTCATATTAGATTATCCAAGATGTTTGCCAGCATCCAAGTATCTAGCTTTGCTACAAACCTCTACCAGAAACAGAAAGAGGCTACGCTTTCATGAGAGCAAGAGAATCTACACAAAGCAAACTAAATAGACTTCAAGCTGCTAAAAGACTACTTGTGTGCCTGGGGAAAAGAAGAAAACAATCTTTCTGTGTGTGCTGCTTTCACTGTAGCCTGTTTGGAGCCCTCTTTTCCTTACCCTAAATGCCTCTTTTGCTTGTCAAAAATAAGGATAATTAAATGTCCTTTTAAGTGGTGGTTAAAACTGCATGATAACAATACCTATCCTCCTGATCCAGTTCCATATAGTAAATACATAATGAGAACAGTCCTATCAGGCGTGCTACTTCATCACTCCTGAGACTAGCTAAGGCGGAGACTTGAAATAACCAATTTTCCCCCACAGTGACATATGCAGCATCCTTACAGGCATCTCTAGCAGCATGCCGTGCCTCTGTGTCTGCTGTTTATACGGTAATGCAACTGAATTGAAAAGCAACAGCCTTACGCTGACTAATTTTAAATCAGTGCTTTGGTTTGTGATTTTAAAAGGCAGCTACCAATAAAAATGTAAATGTAAAAGAACCCCACAGTCCTATCTACTGATCCAGTGATAAGTATATTTTGAACTAAAACTGTTTTTCCATTGTCCTCAACTGTTTTTTTATGCCAGTATATGATTATTGCTTCTTTAAAAAGTAGTACAGTAATTTTTTATCTCCCGACGGTGCTGAGGATGAGATGACCATCAGTACTAGCTGTTTCTTTTTCCCACTTAGAGTTTTTCTTAAACAGAAAGTAGTTGTATGGAGAAATGTCATTTAATGGTTTTCTTTGCAGTTGTGGATAACGTCTTTGTATAAACGGTGTTATATCATACGTATTATTTGTGGTAAAACAATGCATGTTTCAATGTGTTAGGCTCCTTTCAGACAAACTGCAAGACTTGGAGAGCTATCGGTGTCTCCTGAAATTTTTTTTCCTGAAGTGTAATGCTTTTAAAAAGCAGATCTGATTATTCACATTAGTCTCCAGACTTCCTTCCCCTTTTCTTTATTGCATGAGGCATTAGCATGGAAACACACTTCACGTTTCTCAGGCTTTTGTCTGTTCCTGCTGCTTTGCCTACTGGAAGTCAAACAGTGCTACTTGGTTTCTGACATAACTGATTACTATGGAAATTATTACCATGTCATAAACGGAGGATTTCATGTGTCGAATGTGCAGCAGGAACGTAGACAATTCTGTAAGTAGAAGGTTCCTGGTAGTAAGGAAAATGGGAAGAGAAATGCAGAAATTACATGATGCCTGTGCAAAATCCATTGTTGCAGATTCTTCTTCAGAAGGGATAACCTGCAAGAGCATGGGGATCAAGCAGTTTGCTGGGGTTTTTTGGTTTTAAATGTATAAGAAGATAAATGTGAACTTGTGCTTCAAGAAATAATTATTTTATTTTGACTCCAGCAGTTGGCACTGGCCAAAGTGATTTCCGAGGGCATTCGATGTATGTCCCAGATCACTGTTCCACACTAGGGAGACTAGACAGCTATCGCTCTGCTATGCAGCGCTCTGAAACCAAGGACACCAGCTGCCAGACGGAGGAAGTTAAAGTTGTGCCCCCTTCAATGAGAAGAATACGAGCGCAGAAAGGACAAGGCATTGCAGCCCAGATGTCTCAGTTCTCCAGCTCATCTGGAAACATGTCAGTGATGAGTGATTCTGCTGCAGTTATATTTGCTTCTCGCCAAAATAGCGACATGGGTTTTCACAGCTTGCCTCGGGCTGGTGCAAGAGTGTCTCTGCAGTCCCTAGAGCAGACACAGAGCATCTCTAGACAGACAGAAGACATCGCTGGCACTTTACCCCACCAGATAAGTAAATTGCAAGTGGATGATAGTGTTGTGCATCTGAGAAATAGTCCCACACCAGGGACCCTGTCGAGGCCAAAGTCTCAAGAGCTGAGAAGCTATGATAGCGAAAAGTCCGCAAGCCCAGCATGTGTGGTCTCTCCTCATGCCACCTACTCAACGAGCATCATACCCAATGCAACACTGTCATCCTCTTCAGAAGTTATCGTTATTCATACTGCCCAGAGTCTTGGATCGTTGGATAGTAAAATTACCAGCTCCACTGCCTACCCAAAGCCAAGAGACAATCCTGTTACTAGCAGTGCAGTAAGTGGGAAAGATGATCACCATTCTTCAAGCGGTAACTGGAGTGAGAGTAGTTCCACACGTCACTCACAGACTTCAGATACCATCCCATCTAATACTGTCATGATGCTTTCTCTTGGTGACTCTGCTGTCTCTCTTAGCACTCCTGGAAATGCAGAGGGTGGGTCTCAGAGCATGAGCTACAGCTGTAGGAACAATCTTGCTTTACCAACCCCTTCCCAGGACAGTGATGGTAGGAGTGAATCCAGCTACTCAGGGGAGCAAGCACAAGCAGCACTAAACAGCACAGAGCACTGGCTGTACAAGTCTGCAGAAAACAGTGAGACTGCTTCATGCAAGGTGGTTTGTACCACACCAGGCTGTGCCACTCCCGGTAGCAACCTCAGCAGCAGCAGCCTGGAGAGGACTTCGGTCAGGGATGATTCTACTTCTTTGTATTCTATGGACCATGATGGTTATTACGGTTCCATGCATATGGACTCTGGACTGAAGTCAGACATGCCATGCAATAGTACTAATGGTTTTGGGAACCCCAGGGACAGCGTGATAAATGTCTTTGAAGGAAAAGAGAAAAAACATCAGGATGACCAGTCAGGCAAAGGTGACAAATCCCTTGCAAGAAATATCTCTCTGAAGAAGGCAAAGAAGCCACCTTTGCCACCATCCAGAACTGACTCACTCAGAAGGATGCCCAAGAAGAAAGCCCAGTCCAATGGACAGGTACTTGATGAAACCCTCATTGCCACCCTCCAGCATTCTCTGCAGTTGAATCTCAAGTGCAAAAATGGCAGCTCCCCTTCCCAGAGCCCCTGCAGTGATTATGAGGATCCCTGGGTGTTGCGCTCCCGCAGCCAAAGCTCGGTCAGTGCAAGCAGCAGCATGATGTCCACCACTGCCCCAAACCTGTACTCCATCTGCACAATCACTCCCTCTCAGAGTGAAACAAGTAGCATCAAGTCGGAGTACGCTGACCAGTGGGGTTACTACAGTGACTATGCTGCAGTGGCAGATGACCAGGTAAAATCCCCAGTGACCCATTCTGCGAGTACATCATCAGCACTCAGCGATTACAGCATCAGCCACTTCAGTGATGGCTCAAGGGCTTCTGTGCCACAAGTGCCCAGTGGACTGGCCAAACCAAAGAGCACTTCTCCAGAGAAATCCCACCGAGTCACATCGCCATCGAGTGGGTACTCCAGCCAGTCCAATACACCCACTGCGCTTACTCCAGTGCCTGTATTTTTAAAACCTGCATCATCAGGAAATGGGAAATCTAAGCTGAAGCCTAAAGTGCCTGAAAGGAAATCCTCTCTTCTGTCTTCAGTCTCCATGTCTTCATCCTCTACTTCTCTTTCTTCAAATACATCTACTGAAGGGAGTGTGAGTGTGAAGAAATTGGACCCCACCCTGAACTCTCCTCCAGATTCTGGTGCACCTCCTCCACCACCTCCTCTTCCAGCACCTCAGCTGCATTGCCCTGAACTTTCTCCTCCCCTTCCTCCTCCTCCAGCAGAAGTAATGGATCTGTCACCATTGCCAGCCTCGCCCACATTCCCCCCTCCTCCACCAGAAGCTGATGTAAATTCTTCCTTTGCTCAGACTGTCCCATGGTTTCCACAAGAATCCTCCATCAATTCGTTCTCTTCCCCTGTTCCTCCTCCTTCTACTTTCCCCTTAGCTGTCCCACCACCAGCACCACCTCTTGATCCCAAACTAACAAAAGGTGCAACAATATGCCCACAGTATTCTTTTAAGAAACGGAACCAGGAAGATAATTGCTACAGTCCAGTGAAACAGCCACTCAACAAGCAAGATGCATCAAGACCTGTGATGCCCTTAGTAACTACCAAAGCCTTGCAAATGGTGCAGCTGAGGTCTGTGAAAAAAGTGACAGAAGGTGAACCATCACCTGAATCTGCTTCTGAAACCACATCTCAGGAAAAGGGTAGTACATCATCACAGTCTTCCCTACAGCCATCTCTCTCACTAAGACTCAGTAGCAGCTTAGGCGAAGAGGAAATGAAAACTCAAGGCACTTCATTTAAAAACTCGGTTCAAACACTGGCTCGGGGTTCTCCTCTCATTCTCTCTGATAACATACCTGTGCTTGACACCAATCAAAAGCCTGCGAGTGCGGTAGGTCTGAGCAAGCCTTTCAAAGCTGATGCGCTGGGGACAGCTGCTGAAGACACACCTGAGTCTTCAGTGCAGAGTGAAGACCTCCATTCTGGCATGTCACTTCAGGGGTCACCAGCATCTCCCAACAAGACTCAGGTCATATTGCCAAGCAAGAAGCCACCTCCTATTTCAAAGAAACCCAAACTGTTCCTTGTTGTACCACCTCCACAGTTAGATCTTACAGTGGAGAAAATAGCTGAAGTGAGTGATACTGTCAGAAGCACATCAAGCCCAACTAAGAGAGACGCTGTGCTTGCACACTGCGAGGAGGCGAGAAATTGTCTTACAGATGGACTCAGTTCTAGCGAGATGGACTCTGGCAGCCTGGTTTCTGAGGGAGGAGCTGCTGGATTCACCTTCTCTGAGACAGTGGGAGCTAATGCCTTTGTGGTACAGCCTGCTGCATCACCAGTTCAAGAAGAACCCAGGCAGGAGGAGCAGTCCGCTTTTGATGAGGGAAGCAGCTCAGGCAGCAGCCAAGACAGCGGCAGTAACAGTGACGGGCACCTCTCTCAAGAGAACGAAAGTGGTGAGTCTTTTTTCTCTGCCTCTTCTTCAGATAAAGCAGTAGCTATTTTAAAGAAGCTGGGGAGTGAGAATAGCAATCCTAGCATTCAGGTGGGCTTCATTAGAGAAAAGAACCTCTTGAAACAGTTGTAACTAAAAGCCTAAAGAAAGTTGCCAGGGATCCAATTAATACTTTATGAGATTTCTTATAATTCCTTTCTGACTTTTCATTATTGCAGACATGGAAAGAAAATTATGCTTTGTCTAACTATGCTAGGATTAAAACATGCTGTGAAAACATGGTTAGATATGTTAATTTTGATTTTGTATTTTAGTGGAAACTATACAAATTTTCTTTGAGTGTTGTTCTCCGCCTGTGTGTGTGAGCAAGCATAGGCATTTCATGCACAGCAGTTTCCTAAGCAGGTGTTGTTCTAAAATCATATAATGACAACGATGCACTCACACATGTCTTGGATGCTTTGCCTTAGAGGCAACGAGGGCTGGTTTCAGGATTATATTCCTGTTGGGTTCCCATGATGGACTGACAGTATTGTTCATTCTCTCTGTATAGTGGAGGTATTTGAATCGGATACAGTGAGCAGTTCATTCCTGCCGAGCAATAGTTATGGGGAAGAGACGGACGGAGTGGCAACACCAGCGAGACCAAGGACTACTGAGGATCTTTTTGCAGCCATTCACAGGTACTGCAGAAATTGCCCTTCCCATACTGTCAGGTCCAGTAGTTCTCTCAAAAATTAATTAACAGTGTTTTACTAAAACATCCAATTACAACAGTCATTGCTTTAACAGAAAGCACCCATTTATCAACTTTCTACTAAGGCTATGTATGAAAAAGATAAGGAAAATAACTTGTGTTTTATTGTTTTACAAATATATTTAATCCATTCTGAACTAAAAACTACCAGATTAAATCAATGTAGATTATATTCTAAATATCCTGCCCCTTAAAACACGTCTAGTATTTATTGTACTGTTCTCAATCTACCATATTAACTCTGCTGTTGCTTTTTCTGTGTATCTTTCTGTTTTCATTCTCCTTCTCCATCTCTTTTTACTCCTCTTCGCTGCTTATATGGTGCAGTTTGGGACAGAGGCTCAACGCTAATGCTTCATGGCAAGCGTGGCTGAAACTGGCAAGTAACACAACATGTCAGTCATATGGCAAAACATATGGCAAACGCTGGATTATTGTTTGCCATAATCCAGCCTGAGGTCGGGTGTTTTGTGTCAAACTGGTTCATGAATGCAATGTGCAGTACTGGCTCTATTACTAATGACATTATTCATTTCCCTTAAAAACAAAATCATCCTGAATAGGCAACCAGATTTTTGTGCTGTTCACGTTGGGTTGTCAAAAAAAGAAAAGAAGAAAAAAACCCACAAAACGAAACGTGTGCACCATTTAAACAGTACACACAGAAGACTATTACCACTCTCTGAACTACTGAGCTTGCTTTTAGGCTAGAATTGATGTAGTGGTAGTGCCATCTTGTGGCTTTGTCTCTTACTTCAAAATGTAGAGGGACCGTCTCTTCTAACTGGTCACGGAAAGTGCCTGGCAGCATCCATATAGGTTTATCTAGGTGTTCAGTCAGTTTGTGCATCTGTGCCTGAGTTCTGCATCAGGAGTACTGAGGGATGGAAAATCCTGTTCTGAGAACGTGGCTGGGAGCTGGAATACTGCAGCATGTGGGATGCAAATGCTATTTTTTCATTTTTGAAACAATTCCGTTTCAGATGTTACAAAAATTATATATATATGATACTGACTTTTTATAATTTATGGTTGGTTACCCCTTAGGACTTCGTCTGTACGAGCTGTTCTAAAACCGGTCTGTTGCATTCACATTGAGTGGCACTCGCTAGGACTGCGACAAATCTGTTTTTAGAATGAAATGTCCTGGCCAGTAGCGTTTCTCCATTATGTATGCAGATAGAGAGTGGATCTCTGTGTGTATGTACATACATGTAATTCATGAGTTTATGGGGAAATGGACAATGGAACTGGATGTGACATATATTGATCTTGACATACTTGTTATTAATAGACCTTGCTTTTGCTGGCTTTAGACTTGAACCACTACCTTCCTTGGTTGTTAATTAATAAAAAAAGTTTTGGTTTTCCCCACACTATTTCTAAAAGGTGTGATTTCAGTGATTGGCACTCTTGAATATGTGCTTTGGAGTAAGACAAGAAATTTAGCAGTATGCACGTTATTGGCAGGAAGAACAATCTAAGTTGAAGTCACAGGTTTGAATATATACCCTATCTCTGTCTGAAAAGCCACCAAAACCAAATTTGATTCTTAAGTTTCTGCCATAATTCATACATGCTGAGAAAAGCTGGTTAGATGAGAACAGCAAACTGCTCTGCACTGCATTCACAGTCTTACTGATTTACTGAAAGCCAGGATAACTAAGTCTTTCCCTGCAGGTCTTTGCAATTGAATTTCGCTTTCTGTTTATTTGAAAGTTAATTTGGGTTTTGACAGCAGTAGAAGCCCAGCATTGCAGTGCTTAAAGGTACATGTAGGCAGCCAAAACCCTAATGGAAGGAACAATTTTCTCTACGAGTAATGAACACACATGTTTGCATACAGACTCGCAGAGCATCCAAGCACCAAATTCACTTGCTGCTTGCGGTACTGACACACAGTTAAATCTAGACAAGGTTCCTGTTTGCCACTACTGAAGTCATCATTTTATCCCTGTGCTATCTTCTGGTGTCCATTCATCCTCAGGCTGAATGGATGTCGATATTACATTCTTCTTCCAGGAAGGCAGGTAGAGGCAGCAGCAGCTGAAAAGAGCAGTGATCTATGCCTAAACTTCACTGCTTAAGAGAAACAGGATCACTCCAAAGTCTTGGCAGATTTTATGGCAATGACTGTTGCTGCCACCTACTCGGCTGATGGATCCTGCTACTCTGTTTTCTGTTTTTTTAATGATCAATAGGCTGCAATGCATAAAGACATTTGATCTTGCCTTGGCAAAATCTCAAGGCCTTTAAGAAAGTACAGCTGAATATCATGTTAAGTAGAAATCTTTTTTTACAAGGGGAACAGTCTGTATTGAACACATGCTTGATAAAAATTGGTATGGAATTATAGCATGATAATCTTGTATTTGTGACAAGTCTACTGACTTGTTTTGAACTTTTGCCAAAATAGCGTATGTAAAATTACCTTTATACAATCTCTTTGAATTAATTCTTGCTTGGCCTGCAAAGAAGTAAAGCAGCTTTGCTACAGATGCCAGGCATGTAACACATTTATTTCTTTAAGTTTTCTAATAATGTGAAAATGGAGCAATAGAAGTCCAATTTCCACTTATTCTTAGTTCCATGATTGTTTCTTAGTTTTGTTTTTGTTATCCCCGCACTTCACATTTCAGTTAAAAAATTGAAACCCACTCTGACTTTTCATTTGGAAAGATAACTTTTGAGTCATGAGGTTGGTCTCTCCTTCATTTAGTTGAAGAGTTGCAATGACAGAGCACCAGCATAACTGTGGATTTTGTCTGTGCAGCTTAACAGAAGCTGAAAAACTCAGTTTCCTACTCATGTAATATTTAGGTTGGGGAGGGGATTTTTTTAAAAAATGGTTTGTGGCTCCGTTCACCCCATCTTAACTTCAGCAGCAGTGCATTGCAGTGTCCTTTTCTAAAGGCAAGTGCACTAAACCATACTTCTAATTCTCTAGAGAGCATCAAATGAAATAATAAACCAAACCAAAACAGAACAACCCAACATACTCTGGATGACATATTTTTAATCAAGTCCCCAGAGTAACAGATAAATGGCATTGAGTATAGTCTTTATAATGTGTTAGTCTGAGCAGTTGAATACTGACTCCAGAAAACCTGATTCACTAAAGTAGCTAATGCATTTTGGACACCAGTATTGCCAGTTTTAGTAGTTTCATTGTTCTAGATTTGCAGAAGAACAACAATAAACTTAGCTTATACCTCCAATACCTGCATTAATGCTTGTACAGTTTTGGTGGTGTTTTTACTCATGCTTTAGATTTAGATTACTTCTCCCTTAGCCCTCTCTCTGCTGTAGCTTAATTCATTGTCATCCTTCTAAGCGGAATTTAATTGGGGGAGGTAAAAAGTTTCAATTTTCATTTGGTCCTCTTTTTGTTGTTGTTTTTCAAACTCAGATCCAAAAGGAAAGTCCTTGGCCGTAAAGATTCTGAAGACGACCGTGCCCGCAACCATTCTCCATCACCCCCCGTAACTCCCACTGGTGCTTCCCCAACCTTAGCTACCCTCAAACAAGCTGGATCTATTCAGAGAAGTGTTCGCAAGAGCAGTACCAGCAATGACAACTTCAAAGCTCTGCTGCTGAAGAAAGGCAGCCGCTGTGACACCAGTTCCCGCATGTCTGCAGCAGAGATGTTGAAGAACACGGACCCACGGTTCCACCGGACAAAGACAGATGCCTCCCCTGACCTTTCCGACAGCCCTACCAGCTGCTCACCCAGCAAGAGCAAACGGGCCCAGGAAGAGTGGGCCAAGAGCGAGGGCCTGATGCCAAGGAGCATGTCCTTCTCTGGCACTAGGTACGGGCGGTCACGAACACCCCCCTCTGCTGCCAGCAGCAAGTACAATGTCCGCAACCGCATCCAGAGCAGCCCCATGACCGTCATTAGTGAGGGAGATGGGGAGGTGGTGGAACAGTCAGAGGGCAGGGTCCGAAGGACTTTGGAAGAGCAGCAAGAGAGGCAGCTTGATATGTTTAACAGTGATGAACTGGACATGAATGACTTTCCATATGCTGAGGAGGCAGGATGCAAGGAGACCTTGGATCCAACCCATCTAGACTTAATGACTCAACCAGGTACTTCAAGGAAGTATCTAAGCCCTTCGGCTGAAGAAAGTTAAAAGGCAGTGACAAAAGGCATTGGATGTTAGTCTAGAAAATGACAGAGGACTAGATTCCAGAAGAAAGCCCAGACCAGGACAAGTTTACTTTGCTGAGCATTTATTCCATGAACTGCATGTGTGTGTTTAAATGCTAAAGCAATGATCGTTCTGCATGGTTGGGTTGGGGTGAGGAGGACTTGCTTTGAATGGGTGGTCTGTGGCTTAAAGAAAGTTAACAGTTGAATTTATTGTAAAGCCTTAGAAGTCCTCTTGGGGGGTGGGGGGGAGTTTTCTCAGAGCCTGTAGGGGTGTGAAGTTTTTCTTTTTCTTGAGACTGCAATTGTGCAAGCAAAATTTAGGAATAAGCCTGAAAAAGGAATGAGAATGCTCCTGTGGTACAAGCTGGACATTTGCTTCAGAAGCTTTATAGTGGTGCAGCGTAGTGCATTCGTGAAGCAGGGAGAGGCACGATGAGGCACATTCACCTGTGAGAAGGTCGTAGGGGTGGTGCTAGGGTTACATGGCTTATTCCTGGGATATGCCCCAGTGTTCGATGAAACGCGTCCTGCTAGAGCAATTAGGTCACCGGGTTATGGATTGGTCCAGGGTACTTTTTTTTTGTTTTTTCCTGAGGGAAAATGAAATAACATAGTTAATGTGGAAAAGGGAGCTGAGTTTTATAACACACTACTAGCTGCTATGCAGCCACACACGTACGCTTGATGAAACACTCATTTCCAAGTGAAGTGCTTCCTTGACTAGAGTATTCCCTTAGAGAACTGGAGCAACTGGGGGTGTGTGGAGGATGCGAACGGTCAGCAGGAAAATGGGAGAGGAATTAAGCAGTGTACTGCCAGAGTTTGGAAGGGTTACGTTTCTGAATTAGAAAGCAAAATTTAACTTTGAGAACTTGCACTACAGGGCTGTAGGTGGAGCCTGTCTTTCAAAATTGAAACTTGGGAGTTGTGTTTTGCCAGAAATCTTTCTTCCATTTGTCAAAATGGGAAGATTATTACTTTCCATCACTTGAAATACAGATACTTGCTAACTTTTGGTTACCAAAGAATAAGTTACAGTTACTTTCCTTTTTGATTTGCCTGCAGTATTTCCCTTCTTTTTTAACCTTAATAATTTAGTGAGGTTCGTTTTCATTGTATATTTTACAGATAATAAAAACATTTTAACGGTTTTCCAATTGTAAAGAAGACCATTAATTAAAACTGAAATATTGGCTGGAGTTTTTGGTTCTTGGTAGGAATGAAATTTTAATTTTTAAGAATTTTTGCATCACTTGATGGTGTGCGCAGTTTTTGTATTGTTTGTAAATATTGAAAGTTGTTAAAAATATCTTTTGGTCTCCCTACGGTAGAATTTATACATTTTTAGATTGCTTTTAAGAAGAAAAAGCACTCCTTGTAGATTATTTATTTTAGAGAAATATGCTTGTAATCTCTTTCTTCAATCCTTTACTTGTTAGTAATGTAAATTTCAGGGGCCTTCGTTTAACTCTTCCCTTCACAAGAGGGGAATAGTGATGAAAATGCTGTGACTTTGCTTCAATAAAGAAAAAGGCTGCCAGTTGCCATATTGTCTTTTGAGTTGATTAAAATCTCCTTCAAAAGATGTGTCCCACAGCATATGGCAACCCACTGAATGCCATAAACCACGCATCTAGCTACTAATCTCCAGTTTTCATTGCAAGATTTACTAATTCACTTCAGAGACAACTAAAGCGTACTTGCATATCCATCCCATTTTGGCATCTCAATGCTGAGACTAAAAAAACTGAAATAATCCTAAAATTTTTCCAGTATCATTTGTGAGTGTTTCTACTACTTCTCCTTTTACTTGCAACCTGTCCCAGAAAACTAAAATTCTTGGAGAACCAGATTATAAGCAGAGTGAGCGAAAAGTGATATGAAGTGGAGAAAGTGAATCCAGCTGCACTCACTAGAACAAAGGGGGGATTAACTGGTGCACAGCAAACTTCCTACCGTTTTTGTGTGCTAAATATATTTAAAGAACCATTGGGATTTTTTTAATTAAATGAAAACCTAATTGGATAAAGCAGATCGTTTCAGATATTATGAATATTGATCTGAACTACATACTGTAGAAATAGTGCAAAACATTCTGCAGCTGCTGAATGTCTTGTGAGTGTTGCTCTGGTGTTTCTCCCAGAGCTGATCACACGAAACATAGAACGCTGTGTCCCTTTCACAGCAAGTGCTGTCCCTTTTAAAGCTGTTTGCAAATGCTAACTAGTCCTCATGCCACCATCCTGACAGGGGAATACTCAGGCTTTGTTTTATTATTTATGAAAGGGGAAATCATCTAAGTGAAAAATTGCAGCATTGGAGAGAATTAATATTTCTGGTGTCTGCAACTTCTGTAGTACTTAGAAGCATTTTGCATAAAGTGCCTGTAGGAGGCAGCCCAGTCGGCTTGTTTCCCTGATGCTGGCCTGCTGATGCTGCCAGTCATTTTTAAAGGCTATATGGGAAACTCTTGGGAAAGTCTTGGCTTATATGCACACCATATGGTCAGTGCAGGTAGGCGAAGTTAAACTTAAAGGTTGCTTGGGCTGAATTTCTTCTCTGACCACAGGTAGCCTTGATGCTCATCTAAAACCCACATCGGGTGTAAGGTGAACTTGGGTTGGGGCGCAGGTTTTGGCTAGTGTGCAGAAGGCAGTATTTATGTAGCCCTACTGATGTTGCTACATGACTATGTTTTACACAGTATATAAGATGCAGTGAAATACATTAAATGTGCTGAAATATGTTTAATAGTGCTTATGATGATAATTTATTTAGGCAGCTGATATAACTTTCTTACAGAGATACCACCACATCATCTCTCTGCTGCTATCATCCTCTGTAGCAGCACACAGAATTGGTTAGTAGCTTGGTTTCCTCAGCAATATAGCCCTTGACCCAAGTTTCCACTACAAAAGCCTAAGAGCATGACAGCTTTAGGCTATGTTTTCTGTACTGGCAAGGACTTTGGTGTATATGTAATCATGCTAAGGAAAACATGCTTAATTTTCTGTCATGCATCCAACTTCAAAGTTACTTTCTTCCATTCTAAGCCTCGTCCATAGGGAGGTTTTGCAGTTGTGGCTTTATTGGTCAACAAGTATAGATTAAGTTTAGCAAACCCCTGCTAAAGACATCCAGAGCAGTAGGAGAGGAGGAAGAATATGCAAACTTTGGCACTGCTAAAAAGAAAAAGGAGGCTTGTCATCCTGATGTTTAATGGATCATAATGTTACAGGGCTTGTTTGGAGTTTACAGCTGGTTTACAGTTTGCCTCTAAAAAAATCAAGAAAGAAGCTAACTGTGAAGTTAATTTATTGGTTTACTTTTATTGGGAATGATTTTCAACTTCAATCTTAAATTTTGCTCTGTATTAACTCATTCTATGCTTCCTCTTATGTTCAAAGTTCATCCGTACTGCTGTCATATGTAGGCAGCCCCAGTCCCCCTTAAACTAGAGCCCTTCACTTACTACATTAATACATTCATAAGGTTCTGTGGCATTTACAAGCCTTCACTGTTTATATACTGGAGGGGGGAGACTTTATTATCTTACTTTAAATGAAGGATGGTTATGCAAAGAGCAATAGCTTGGTGAGAGGAGGTTTGGAAGGTTACTGGAAATAAGTTAAAAGAATTGTGAAAGAAGTGGATTTGATGTAGGCAAGGTTTTGAGGAACCAGGACTGAACACTGGTTCATGCATAAGGCTTGGCCTGAAAGAAGGCACAGAATAATGACAGAAAAGGTGAATCAGGGAGATTACTGAGAAGTACAATGGATGCACAGAAGGACAGTAAGGTATGGGGCTGGCAGGCTAATGCAGATTTTTGAAAACAAAGAAGTTTCAGCAAGTATAAGAGAGAGAGAAAAGAGAAAAAAGCAAAGGAACAATTGGATAGACAGCAGGGGGAAAGAAAAATTTCAACTTCTGTGCTTCTTCACAATTCAAAGGATATAGAAGGCCAAAGTCAGTCAAACACGGAAAAAAAAACATTTTAGAAGAGGAAGAAGAGCAAAATTGTGTGAGCTTAGAGAAGCAGTAATAGGCTGAAGTGAGGAACAATCCAGGAGACCTCAGGCAACAGCAGGCAGGCAGCTACAGGCTTGAGCACAACTCTTGGAAGGATTCTGTGCAGAGAAGCCGTGCCCGAAATCTTGAAAGAATATGGGGTCAGGAAGATTAAAGGTGAGATTCATCCTGCCTACTTTCTATCAACAACCCTGCATCCAGTGATTACTGTGGACCAACTACTGTTCTCCAGACACCTGTGTTCTGGCAACTTGCTAAACTTGCAGTGTTTTCCTGGAGCGAAGAGAGGCCACTTGTGCATGCAGCACAGGCATAAGTGTCTGCGTAACACTGCAAGGAAATACATCTTGTCAGGTATTGTTTGGATCCCAGAAAGTTCTGGAAAAGCCATGTATAGCAGTGGTCACTGCTCCAACAAAGCTGTTGTTATAGTACATTTAAGTGATTCAAAATGATGCACTGTTTGCTTCTATAAGAGAAGATTAAAAGGATGGACTTCAACAATAAAGCGTGAAAAAATTTACAGTGGCAATGAGGAATCGTTTTATTGACAGTAACTTCAATACTCGCAAAACCCACAAAGCTAGAAATTACATTAATTATATAGCGTACGGAGTACATTGTATTAGATTTTTCCCCCCCTTCATTTTCTGAATAACTTCCAGAAGTATTTCTTTCATATTTGAGACTAGAAAAGTTGTCTGACATAAAATTGATAATTTTCTTGGTTCTAAAGAGGTGTTAACAACCAACTTTAAATCAGAGTGCGGCATTAAAATCTTGCAGGTATTCAGTGCAGGATCATGACTGTGGCTATACCAGTGTGAATTAATAAACACTCCACAGAGTAAAATATAGAGATGTTTGATAAAGAAGTGCTATGTCATCTCTTGTTCTGAAAGATGGTAAAAGCCTCACTAGTGCTTCCCTAACAGAATGAGTGCATTTTATGTTGCAAATTTAGCTCTTTGACGTTAGGTTCTTACACATCATGCGCAACCAACCTTTTAAGGGCCAATCAATTCTTCTCCCAACAATGCTAATGCAGAATGTCATCGATTTTTAGTAGGAAATTGTCTGTTAATAGTGAATCCACATGCGTCTGTATATGCATGTGTGGGGGTATATACAGAAGAGAGAAAGGCCAGTCCCAATGTACATTTGAGTTGCTTCTGTCTGTAGTTGCTTCTGTCTCTATTTGTGCACCAGCCTTCAGTATAAAATAGAAATTTTAGCTACTGAAGGAACAAAAAAAGTAAAAATCTGTTAGGACACATAGGTGGCAGAAATTCCTGCATATTCACTACCTCTTGAAAAAAAAAAGTGAAAACATCAGTTCTGTGTTTAGATGGTAAAAACTAATTTTTGGGGAAAAAAATTACAATAAAATAAAATCTGACAACAAACAAGAAGTACAGGAAACAAAATGTCCTGTGTGCCTTCTGAAGCAGAATGCTTCCACAGTGGCAGTATTTAAGAACTGCTTAACTCCCATGTGGTTCTTGTACATCTCGGTAGTAAATGAATGTCTTCTTTAAAAGTCAGTCAAATATACATTGTAGGCTCCTGAAGGCAGGAATTTCTGTATCCATTTTACTGTAACCCAGTGTGAAAACAGTGTTAGAAACATAGCGAGTAATTTCATTTGGAAAAAGCAAACTGATTTCTAGGCCAGTTTAAAATGGGTGAAAGAGCATTAAGTGACAAGAGCGTTCAGTGCCCAGTGCAGCATCACCAGTTGAGAAGCTGCCCTAGTGTAGTCTGAAGGATGGTCCCATCCTTCTCTCCTTCATTGGGATGTTGTAATGCACTGCCTGAAAAATGGTGATTGTTGTGAACCACTCTGCCAACTGGCAGATGCAGTGTAGTCAAAAGGTTTTAAAAAAGCTCGGATTTATGTAGTCAGTACAGCAGTCACAAGCTAGGGAGTGATAATAATTTAAATATATTTACCTTTTAATAGAGTCCTAATGCAAAGGAGAAGTACATTTTGGAAAGGAGATCTTAAGACAATAAAAATGTGTGCACCAAGGAGCATGTGGCTGGGAGCAGAGGTCACGAAGTGTGGCTCTGGGGTAGCTTTTATCCACCTGCAAGCCGTGGGCATGACATGCAGTACCAAACTACAGGTGATCCCAGATGAGACTGGCATATTCCCCAGTACAGCACACTTGATTTTTTTTTTTTAATCTGTTATCAGGATCAACCAAAACTTAAATTCTACAGACAATTTTCTGTGATGTGATATACAGGAAAAAATGTCTACCTCCATGTAATATTCAAGAGGGTAGCCCTTTATTCCAGCATGGAATGTTCATAAAACTGTTATTCTTCATTTACTGATGCAGCTTTTTGCAAAATTTGTCACAAGTTAAGGTTGTGTCATGTGGGGACGTGAAAAGCAGTTGCTACAGGTTATTTCTCTGAGTTTAAAAAATCACCAGGACTACTTTGTTTCTGGACTGTTAAGCATAACCCTAGGCAAGCGAACTTATATAAAACAAAAGCTTTTTTCTGAAGTGCAGCTCTGAAGCCCAGGACTGGCTATGGAACAAATTGGTCATCTTATTCACGGAATGAGCTTCTTGAATGATGTGACAACCACTGTAGACCCAGGTTGGATTTGGGGAACAACGAATCTCAAAAATTTCTTTCTGTACCACAAACATGCTCTGTCTCAAATGATCACCAGTGTCTGTGAAATTGTGGAGACCTCTTAGAAGACAAACTGTTAGCAGTCATCTAAAATACTTGCTGAGAAAAGAGGGAAGAAAGTATCTTGACAATAAACTAAAATTGTCATTCTCAAAAGTCATTCTGGTGGTTACTCTTGTTTGTTGGATTTTTCCTTCTTTGGCTAAGCCACACCTCGTGTCACCTGTTAATTTATGTAGACTGCCTTAGCAGTATCCTTTCAATGGGTATTTCCTCATCCTGCTTCAAACATCTTGCTAGCATCGAGACTTCTTTGTGATATTGGTGTGTCTTCTGAAAGGCTGCCAGAGTTCACCTGTCTGGGAAAATGGCATCAAGCAGAAGCAACTCCTGCTTCTGTGCCAGTCGACATGCATACATGACAGTGTAGGGGCCTCCAGCCTTGGTGGGTGTTCAGTTATTATAGACAGCTGAAACCTTTTAGTTGGTTAGACTGGATTCAGAGAAGGATTTTCCTGTAGCTACATTTCTCTCACTTCTAACACAGTCTGCCAGCCCTTTGACTCCACTACCTTTCCCCTCTCTTAGCATGTGTGCTTTCCTTAACCCCAATCCCAGATGCCTTCTCTTCATTCTCCTCCAGAACTCCAGAGGCTGACCCTGACATGCAAGCTCTCGCTCACCATCCCGTTTCACACCCAGCTCTCACAGACTGGAAGCTCAGCTCTGCGTCCTTAGCCACCCCACCTTGTCCTCGCACCCATGGAAGAACTGCAGGCAGCTACAGATAGCGGTGACACCACTTCAGCAGTAACGGTATGGGCAGGTGCTCACAGTGTGCACTTAAGTGCATGGTGGGAGATGTCTCTGCTGTCAGTGCCCAACATCAAGTGGTTTGTGCCCACAGTGTGGGAGCCTCTCCCATAGCCTGTTAGCCTACACCTTGTGAGTCTGTTGCATAACAGTCTATTTTACGGTGCTCTCTCCACCTGCAAATATTTGGTTTCCCAAATATCTGTGAAGAGAGGCGGCCCTGGGTCAAAAGGCAGTGTGTATTAAGCATCTTTTCAAGGACAAGCTGCTAAGATAAATGGCTTCATACCTTGGTTGGCATTTCTCAAGAACTTGATGTCCTGAGAGATGCTACCTGAAAAAGTAGAATTCCATCAAATAATGCCTAATTGGGAACACTGAAAACAACAGAAAAGATCTGTGGTTTTCCTGGTAGACTTCAGTAGCACTTTTCAGCAGTCTGTAACTCTGAGAAGATACTGGAATCTGGAATTCAGTTTGCTTCCTTCTTGTTTGCAAAGTACTCAAGTTAGGTTTTTTTTTCCCCTCCCTAGCTCCTGTTGGCACAATGTTTTTACTGTGAAATATGAACAACCAATGTGGGATAATAACAGAAGATTGTCCGTGAGGATTATAAACATGCTCAAGTGACTTGCAGCTGGGGTGTAGAAAAACACATACATCATACTAATTGTTGTTTAGCCTTGTGTGTTTGACAAGTAGAACATCTGTGTTTAGATAGCACAGGCCTGTGATAGACTTAGAGGCACCCTATCACACATGCTTGAGATTCCTGTCCTGCTGCAGGAAAGGTCAAAGCGCAGTGGTAAACTATGCCTGCGCGAATCCTGGTAACCAGACGCAGACAGCAGGTTTGGAGATCCTCTAGCATGGAGCAAGCTCAGCAGTGCCTGCATCTCCACCTGTGTACCTCTGCCCGGGTGCTGCTTCAAGGATCCTCTGGTTGGTGAGGTAACAAAAATGAATGTACTCTTTGCGTTTTATCCATGGTTTTGTGATTGTTCCTATGTCCTACCTGTGTTTGTTCACACATTTTGGTGCAGTTGGCAGGATCCAGGAACAGCCAAAAATGTTGGGGACTGGGGAGGCCACAACGGCGACTCCCTGTATTCCAGGGTGGCCCATTACTGGGCTCTGGAGCCCTGTGGCCTTTCCTGGCTACATGGGCTCCGCCAGAAGCATGGCCTGAAATAGATGCCAGGGCAGTGGTTACCCCCCAGACAATTGAAACGGCTGTGTGGAGGTTGCCATGGAAAGTGACATCAGAGTCTTCTCACAAGTTAGCGGGGAGATTGGGGTATTAGTTACCAGTCTTAGAGCTCTTGTTTGTGAAGTTGTAGCATTATGGAGTAAAATGAGAGAATTGAAAGCACTTCACAGGATGCAAAGGCGATTGCACAAGAAGTGATTACTGCTCAAGCAGAGCAGTGCCAGGGGTACTGCAGGTACTACAAGGTACTGTAGAGCAGTTGGTAGCTCATATTGCTAATAAACCAAGGGACATATATGGAAAAAGTAAGGTTTCAATTTTTTGAAGTTCATGCTTACACGACAAAACCTTCACGGGATTCTGAGGAGTGTGGTAGCAATATCTGGAGTGAACCTTTGGACTCCAAGGTTGAGTTTGAGTTGGATTTAGAAGACGCAGAGATGGTAGAAGCACAATCCCCCATACAAATGAAGGGGCAGCAGGAACAAGTGGTTGAAGTGTGCAGGTCACGCGTACTTGTTAAGGGAATTACCAGCAGAAGAGTGAGGAAGGCATACTGGCATGGATTTTGTGAGCTTGGGATAGTGGAGCTGCATCTATTTGTTTATTGATGGGTGAAAAAGATTCATTGAGTCCTATAGCCAGTGATGATCAGATACAAAGATACACTCAGTTGTATTATTGCACCTACACTGTATCAATGGTTGTGTGCAGCAGTCTTAAGAGCGCGTGCTGGACCTGCTGAGTTAGTGTTGTCCCTCAGAAATTGGTGTACAATGAGGAGGGTATTAATTTAGTGTGGCAGGTGGGAATGGCTCATGCATTGATTATGGGATCCAATCTGGACAGGGTAGCAGTAAGAAGAAGTATCAAAATTCAGTTTCTGAGAGAAGCACCTGCCTCACTAAACGTTTTGATTATACCGGCAGTCAGAAATGCTACTGGTAATGTAGGTGCCCTAGCAAATACCTTGAGGGAAATTGGGGCTGTAATTTCAGGACCATCTGTGCAGGTGGTGGATAAAGGAAAGCCGGCAAAACTGGAAGGATTTACATCACAGGTGACAAGGAAACAAACATGGAATGACCTTTTACAAGCCAGTGTCCTACAATCAGAAATAAATGGGATCACAACATCAAAAATCTTTTGCTGATGGCAAAAGTTAGCACTTATGCATAAAAGCTGACCCCTCTGCTACGCTGCCAACTCCGAGCCCACCTTCCACCACACCTGCAACCTCAAGGCAAGTCAATACCTGGCAAAACAACAGAAATAGAGGTTTGGCAGGTCCCTGAAAATAGCCACCATTGTAGCCTCTTACTGAGAGGGGGACCGCTGTTCCTATGTTCCTTTAACTATAAAGTGGTGGTTGGGGGAGGGGATTTTACATGTGTTAGCTTTGGTGGATACTGGAGCTGAAGTTATTATATTACATAGTAATATTAATAATAAAGAAGCCACATCACAGATCTGTGGATTAGGGGGAAATCTAACCCCTGCCCTCTGAGCTAGAGTTACCTTAACAATAGGAAGTGCCACACCATCTACCACAATGGTGTTATTGCCACAATTAAATAATATAATTTAGGTGTTGTGTTGGCAGGATGAATAGTTGAAACTTTAAATGGTTGCTTCTGCTTTAGGACTTTGCAAGCGAGATTCGCTATTCAATCTATAACCAACTTCTGTGGATTCCTGAAGTGGGA